TTTCCATGCTATAAACTTCTCTAAATAGAAAACATATTGTGAATATTAAGCCAAAGAAAGGCCCGTGCCTGCATTATGAATCCCTCAATCACCAAAAAGATAGGAAAGTATTCATATCAAGAAGCTGGCTACCTTCTAATGGGCAGTTCCTCTGCCATGTTGTCCCCTCTTCTGTCCTACTCTCTCTGGCCTCCTGGAAGGAAAGGAATGAGGTCCAGCTCCTTCAAAGCCTTTCAGCCCTTTAAGGAGACAATAGGGCATGGAGCTCTGTTGTGAAAATGCCCTGGTCATTCTTCCCGTCTGCTCAAATTCCTTCATCCCCTGATGTAAAACTTGAAAGGAAATGGAATCCTAAATGTAAACACTATCTTTCAGTCACTTGGAAAATTATCTACCTCTCCTTTCTCTCTCTTACCAATTCACTCACCCTCAATTAAAGCCGTCCTTTGAGTTCAACCTCACTTTTCAGAAATCAAGCAATCACCTAAGGAAGAGAAAAACATTAAGAGATCCAGATTTCAATTAACTTTGCCATTGATTTTTGTGTAATTCTGGGGGAGGCATTATTCTTTTGGCAAAGAGGGGGCAAGGAACTCAAAGATTAATGAAGGTTCTAATGACAGCAGTGGGTAAGGACTGAGACATCTGCAATCCTGTCCCCCAGGCCCTGCTGAAAAGAAGCAGCAAAACTAGGAGGAAAATGGCCTGGAAGTGAGGCCCGTCAATTGCCCACAACAATGGAAATTCTTGTCATTCAGGTGGAAAGGCTTCGGTGGATACAGTGCTTTTTTTGTTTTGTTTGATTGTTTGTTTTTGAGACTGAGTTTTGCTCTTGTTGCCCAGGCTGGAGTGCAATGGCGCCATCTCGGCTCACTTGCAACCTCTGCCTTCCAGGTACAAGTGATTCTCCTATCTCAGCCTCCCAAGTAGCTCAGATCACAGGCATGCACCACCACGCCCAGCCGATTTTTTTGTATTTAATAGAGACAGGGTCCACCATGTAAGTCAGGCTGGTTGTGAACTCCTGACCTCAGGTGATCCACCCATCTCGGCCTCCCAAAGAGTTGGGATTATAGGTGTGCACCATCATGCCTGGCCAGATACGGTGTTTTCTTGTACTTTTTCCTTTTAATGTAATTTGCATATTTGATGTTTTACATAATTGTTCCTGTTTTGTTTTAACTGATCAATAATATATATATATATACAACCTTGCCTTTTTAAAATTATTTCATAATGTTGAACCAAATATATATACAACCAAATATATATATATATATATATATATATATGTATCCAAACTTGCCTTTTAAAAGCTGCAATTATTTCATAATTTTGGATATATATTGATCATAACTAGGAACCAGTGGTTTAGCACACAAGAGCATGCATGCACACACACATACACACCACATATATATAATAGTGGAAGCCACTGATACAGATATAATTTTTAATGTGTTATGTCATTGGATGTCTATCACAGGAAAAAGTCTCCGCAAAAATAGATTTAAAACAACAGGCAGTTTAATCAGATAAGTACACAGCATTCATCTCTGTCTGCTACCAATATGATTGCAGCATAATGAATGAAGGGTGGGAGCTCATCGGAATAGGTCTCTTCTGAGCAATGGAGTGAAACCAGCTGTCATCGAGAATCCTTTCCTGGGGTGGGAGCTGGAGCGGGATCTGCTGCTGTGATCATCATCATCATCAATAGCTAAACTATTAGACTTTAACAAAGGAAATAAATGATGCGATTTGGGATTTTATGTTAAGAGCTTTGTTCCAACTTTATGCAACTCCCTAATGGGGAATTTAGCCTTGCAACACAACTCGCCGATTTTTGGAAGCCCCTGCTAGGGTGGAGCAAGGGTTCCCTTCTGTGGGGAGTCAGTAAGGAGAAACTACCTTTCAAGGAAGTATAAAGGAAGTGAATTGGACAAACGTGCTCCTCTCAAACCAAATGCAGAGTGAGGCTATTCAATTACAAGGCCATCTAGGTAAAGCCATAAAATGCACTTGTTGCTTGCTGCTCGTGTGCAAAAAATAAAAAAGGGTTAGATGTGTGCCTCGCTCTGTAGCTCAGTCAGAGTGAGGCTGATGGCCGCTGTCTCCAGGGAACAATAGGGTTGGCTAGGGAACCTTAGGGCACCAGCACACCCAGTGGCCCATGTGACGCTGACCGCCCGTGCATTAGTTGACTGCCTGCTATGAGCCAGCCCTGTCCAGGGCTTTACCCTTCACATGACCTTGTGAGGCAAGTCCTATTATTCCCTCCATTTTCCAGACAACACAAAGAGACATAAAATGACTCAATATCACACAGTTACTGGGTTTTAAAGATGCATTCAAAGGCAGTCAGTGCTGAGAGTACCAGGTAACCACCATGTAGGCGCTCAAAGGAATTGAATTTAATCGAATGAAAAATCGGAGAAGTGATGGGCTGAAAGAAGGCAGGAAATGATTTGGCTTAATTATAATCATCTCCAAAATAAAAACTGATTAGCCCAGTTCCCCCTCCATCTCAGCAGTGTTCAGCAACATTTCCATGAGTGCCACAGACAGACAAGTGTCCTCTCCCTGCCCCACCACCTTCCAGAATCCCTTTCCACCACCATGTCTCCAGAATCCACCTGCAGAGTAAACCAGTCCCAGGGCAGACATATGCCTCATAGATTGCCAGAGAGAATGGGGGCTAAGAATGGAGGTCAGCCGACACCCTGAAAATGTGAACCCAGCAGCTGCGCCCCATCACCCAGCCCCAATGGCCTCAGCTCTGCACTGAGACCCTGTGCAAGCGTGGAAGGCAAGCAGACCCTCCATACCCCAGCATTTTAAAGGCCATCCACCTATTTCACTCTTCACAGAGTACTTCTATGTATTCTCCCTAACCTAGTAGTGGCTGGTGTGAATCTTGGGCCACAACTTTGGTATTTAAAAAGTGTAACTTTTTATAATTTAATTTTTATTTTGAAACCTCCGTCTTTAAAAATGGCAGAAACTCAATCTTGGGGGCTTAACTTCCCCTAAGTCATAGCTAAATCTGGGGATTCTTTAGTTCTAAGACTTGGTAGGGGAGTGGCATCAGTCTGCCATGTCATGTGTCTATTCAGGCAACCTCTGAGATGTCACATAACCCCTCCACTTGGTCCTCAGGCATTGGTTTACCCAAACTGCCTTGGACACCATCTTGTTCCACCCATGTGGCCCTTACCCTGGTGTCTGGAGAGCAAGGACAAGGCTCCTTCTCTCGTGAGATCCCACCATCGTGACCATCACTTCCCCATAGACTTGCCTACTGCACTGGATGTATGGTCTCAAGTACTCAGCTGGGCTCTGAGGTCTTTGTTCCCCTAATAACTGGGGTTGTTACAAAACAAAACAATGTATTGGGTAATGCTTGCCTATGGACAAATATATCAGAAACCCCAACAACAATAGCTTGACCAATAATATTTATCACAGGACATAAAAATATCTGGTACAGTGCTCAAAGACACAAGCAAGGAGCCAGGCTCTTTCCGTCTTTCAATCAGGTCAGTTGTGCGCTGACCGTTGCCTGCTTCAGGAGCGAGGAGGAGCAGGAACTGGACTGTGGCCTGCAGCTCATGGGGCGTGCTACTGTAGGCATCTGAGCACCCCAATTTGTAGGGTGGTTGGGAAGGGGAGCTTTTACCTTTCCGGCCTCTGCAGCAGGAGGCTGGTTAGAGTGGGGATATCTAAATGCCAGTTAGAATGGGGATTGCAGAGCGGATGGAGGGAGTCATCCTAAAGAATCTGTCACACACAGGAGAAGACGCATTTTCCAGAGTCGTTTCCCTCTCTGAAGCCCTGAGCAGGCAGTGGCCAGCTGCTTGAATGAGGTAGAGGTGAAAAGAAAAACTGAGTGGTAAGAAGGTGGATGATGCTCATACGAAATTATCCCACCTCATAGGTTAAGGAGCACCTCGGTCCGGGTAGACGGCCCAGAGGGCGCTCACAAGCTGTGTGTGGGTCCACCGCAGAACCCGGACTGGGAGTGAGACGCAAAGACCTCTGATTCCAACCCCTGCCACTCACTCATGGGCAGCATGAGCCACACCAAGGGCCTCTATTTTTCTATTCCGACCTGGGCTTGGCCTAAGGGACCCAACAGGCACTTGGTGAATACATGCCAAGCTAATGAAGCTCCCACATTTGTGAACGGCAGAGATTGGGCCAGAATACGACGGGAGCTTGCTTCCCTGACGTACATGACTCCAGGAGGTCTGGTGGCTGAGCAGAAACACAGAGGCCCAGCCATTCTGTACCAACTGTGTGCTACCCAGCTCCTTCAGGGGCTCCAGCACGGTCGGTTCCAGGCTTGGTCCAACCGCAGAAATTCAAGGTACCTCCACCCCCTTGAGCTCCACATTAATTCTGGCTCCCACCTGGTGTGGCAGAAAGTCTGACCTGCTGAGCCCACATCTTTATCTGCAAAATGAAGACACTAATTCCTACCTCGCAGGGCTGTGTGAAGATGAGCGATGATGAATGTCTGCCCACCCAGGCCCTTTTAGTCTTTTAGAAGACCATTGTCACCTGGGTAAATCTGCCTCCAGAAGCGGCCCCAGAAGTTGGCTTTTTGCAGGGAAGGGTTGGCGGTAGGCAGACTTGGCTGAGAATGCTCCCCAAGCTGGCATGGCTGATTGGTACCAAACTGTGGGAATCACCTACTGACCTCAGTTCAGCATAAAACTGTGAATGTTGATATGCCCTGACGTGAGGTGGCATTTTTGTCTCTCACCTACGTTGATAGCATTTGCAAACAGATTGAGTCTTGGGGACTCTTTGGGTTCCTTTAAAACTGCGTGCTTCTATACAGACATCTGTATCCCAGTATACAAGAGCATTTCAATCAACACTAAGTGTAGTACAACTAAAAATGATATGTTTGTCAAAAATAAATAAAATAAAATGAAATCCATCTCCAGCAATACCCATAAAGCCAAAGTCCTTTGTGTTTGAACAGACCATACCTGAAGTTCTGGTGCGTTCTGTGAGCTGCCTTGTAAGGTGAGGATAAAATAAACTGCAGTCTGTCCAGAGGAGGGCCTGCTGTGGCCACCAGTCACAAAAAGAAAACTCCTCCATAAAGCCAAGTTGAAAAAAAATGGAGTGTATTGCCTGGTTAAAAAAAAAAAAAAAAGAAAAAAAAAATCTTTCAAATATTTGGAGAGAACTTTTATGTATAAGAATGAGCTTTATTTTACGTACATGAAGAAGGAACGCTACACCTGTAATCCCGGCACTTTGGGGGGCTAAGGTGGGAGGGTCACTTGAGGTCAGGAGTTTGTGACCAGCCTTGTCAACATGGTGAAACCCCGTCTCTACTAAAAATAGAAAAATTATCCTGGGATGGTGGTGTGTGCTGGCAATTCCTAGCTACTAGGCAAGTTGAGGCAAGAGAATTGCTTAAGCACGGGAAGCAGAGGTTGCAGTGAGCCAAGATTGCACCACTGCACTCCAGCCTGGGTGACAGAGCAAGACTCTGCCTCAAAAACAAAAAAAGAAGGAAAACTAGAGCCAATGATAGAGATACAGGAAGACAGGTTTTTGCTCCAGTGGGAGACACAGCAGCCCTGAGGAGCAGCAGGATCCTTCAAGACTGTAGGATGGGAGCCTGTTAAAGACTTCATCTCCCACTGCTTTGTGAGTTGTAATGCCAACTAAGGAGACCATTATCTCAGAACCCCCTGCCAGCTACCTCTCTGGTGCCAACTCTGTCACACTGCCCAGGACCTTTGTCCAGTTGGTCACCAGAGCTGCCTGACAATACACTTTATAGTGAATGACCCAGTAAAGCTTCTCCTTGGGTACCTTTCCTGGCTTCTCTCCTTCCACCCTGAGGCTTCTCTGATGCCCCTGAAGCATGAGATATTCCAGCAAAGCTCAGTGCACAGCCATGCTCAACCCAGAAGTAAGAGGAGGAAATAAAGGAGGATTAATAACCCACGGTGAAAACCACTTATCAATCAATCAGAGGTTGAAACTGGCAAACAAATTCTTTTTCCTTCCTCCCTTACCCTCCACCCAATTGGTTTGTCCTGAGATTTAGTCCCTTATGCTCTGGGAGGATGGTCCCTGTATTAGTTTCCTGTAGCTGCTGTAACAAATTACCACTAACTGGATGGTTTAAAACGATAGAAATGTATTATCTTATAGTTTTGAAGGACAGAAGTCCTTCACTGGGCTCAGCAAGGCATTGGCGGGGGGTGTGCTCCCTCCAGAGGCTCTCGGGGAGAATTCCTTCCTTGCCTACTCTGGCCTCTGGAGGCTGTGGCTTGGCTTATGACCACATCACTCTGTCTCCTTGATCACACTGCCCTCTCCTCTTCTGTGTATCAAACTGGGCTTTGCGTCCTTCTTGCAAGGACATTTGTGTTGGGCTGTAGCATTCACCCAGAAAATCCAGGGTAATCTTTCATCTCAAGAGCCTTAATGACATCTGCAAAGTCTTTGCCGTATAAGGTAACATTCACAGGTTCCAGGGATTAGGATGTGGATATTTCTTTGAGGGCTAGTGTTTAGCTTACCACAGTCCCAGGTGATGGAGCAATCAGCTACATGTCATTTGATGACAGCGACGTGTCATCAAATACATCAATAACACACCCTTGTATTTGCTCCTTGCATTTCAGCCACACTGCCCTTTCTTCCACACTACTACTACTCTGGGATGCAACTCTCCAGGAAAGAGGCAGTACATGAGATTTTCCTCAAACTGTACTCTCTGGAAAACCCAGGATAATATATGTAAGCCATTAAGAACAGTGCACACACTAATGATAGTCACAGTAATAGTGGTAATACAGTACAGTTTTCAAAAAGGTTTAACTTTCTTCCACAGCACAGCTTAATCACTAAAAAGCAGACTTATACACTAAGGGAATGGAGGCCATCTACTGCAGTGGAATTTTACACTTTGCTGAAAGATCTATTTCCCCTCTACAAAACATTGCCAACATGATGACAATTTTTTCAGTAGAATACCTGCTAAGTGAATAGAATTAGAAAAAGAAGTGTATTCCACAGCAAATGGAAGAAAATTCACTCTGTTACAAGAAAGTTAAATACATTTGTTGACAAATTCCTTACAGACAAAATGTCTTATCTGTGGCAGCATTAAGAATACACATTTTGTGTGATGAAACAAATTATGTTTCTTAAAACAGCAGTGTCCTGGGTCCTAGGAATATCTGAAGAGTATCATACTTCAAGGATGAATCACAGAACTGATACTATCACCTCCAAATTCAGTCAGCAAGGCTGTGATTGCCTTGGAGGGGGAAATGAGGAGAGTAGGGCAGAACTTTCTACTTGCTCCTCTCAGAGGTCTTTGCAGGTGACAACTGTATAATGGAAGATTCTGGAAGGTTGTGTTTTTCACTAGGCAATTTCATTGGCACCTTTGTTTTAGAGAATCATGTGATTTTTAGGTTCACCAATAAATCTGAAGAAAGCAAGCGATATGGTTTGGCTATGTCCACACCCAAGTCTGATCTTAAATTGTTTTTCTCATAATCCCCATGTAGGAGAGACATGTGGTGGGAGACAACTGAATCATGGGAGCAGTTATCCTCGTGCTGTTTTCATGACAGTGAGTGAGTTCTCATGAGATCTCATGGTTTCATAAGGGGCTTTTCCCCCTTTGCTCAGCACCTCTCTTTCCTGCCACCATGTGAAGAAGAACATGCCTGCCTCACCTTCCATCATGATTGTGAGTTTCCCGAGGTCTCCGCAGCCATGCAAAACTGTGAGTCAATTACACATCTTTCCTTTATAAATTACCAAGTCTCAGGTATTTCTTCACAGCAGCGTGAGAACGAACTCATACAACAAGTATCCAGTGACACTGAATATAAGGAAAATATTGGCAAACTTTCCCTACTAAAAGGGCAAATATCAAAATCAGAAATTTTTAAGAACTTTACTTCTTTTACTGTGACAAGGCAAATCCAACATTTTGGAGGAAACTGCTTCCTCCAGGCATCATCTCATCTCAAAAATGACAAGACACAATGTTCAATAAATATAACCTGAATGAAGAACTGTATTGAACAGCATGGTAAAATAAGCCTATATCTGGCACACCCATGTTTAATATATGTCATTTAGCTGGGTAATTCATATCTGAAATTTCTTTGATATAGATTCACTTGGACTTTATGTACAAAATCTTAGCTTTCACATCTCCCAAGCCTAGATCATTTTCATCTTTTAGATGCTAGTACAATCTGCTATCAACATTTCAGTATCTCTCTTCCTCTTTCCTTTCACAGCATGTGCACTCAAGAGACGTGCACATGCACACAATATAAAACAAGGTGTCAGGCAACATTTTACAGAACAGCAGGATTGCTCTCCCTCTCCAAGTTCATCTACTCTCTCTTTCTCCATAGCACAAATAAAAGCCAACTCTTTGGACAGCACAGGAAAAATCAGAATAATCTATGGATTTCTGGAGGATTCCAGCCACAGGAGTCTAAGAATAAAAAAAGAGTTACAACTCATCTTTGTACAGTCATCACTTTCCCTGGAAAATTTCAGCTCTTTTTCTAGCTTATACAAGGCTCTTAAATGATGTTAAATAGCAGATGAATGAATGAACCAATGAACTAAAGGACTGAACATTTCTGAAACTATGGAAAGACACATGATGTAAAGCAGCAGCATGGTATACTAGAAAGAGTAGTGATTTAAATCCAGGAGATGTGACTTCCAGGTGTTCTGCTGGCTTACTATTTGATCTTGGACATCCTACCTAAATCTCATTTTCCAACATGCCAAATAGGGATGATATTTTATTAAAAAGTTTTATAGATAGCATCTATACCACAAACAGTATCTATATGGTTTAGAAAACACTTGGATTCACATTCTCTCATTTGATCCTCCCAACCACCAAATGATGGGAAAGGATGCTCATCTTTTGTCCTCAAGGCAGAAGTCTACAATTGTGGTCAACACCTTGATAAAGTTAATAAAGGTGCACTCCAAGCTAGAATTTCCAGACATGTGTACACCTTCTTCTTCAGAGAGCAGGCAGAGAAAAAGATGGCCATAATCAGTGATCTACCCCTGAGACAATAATGGCAGAATCTTATCTCTAACCATGGCTTCTCACCTTAAATCATTCCTGCTGCCTGTCATCCATATGCCTGCTCTGAATACTCATAAAATTTACTCAAAGCCAAAGGCCCTGAGCGTTTATTCAAACGAGTACTACATAAAAATACCTACACATTTATTTCTCAGTATGGAGAAGGTATTGAGTAAACGAACAATGAACTGCATGGAGAACATCAGGAGTCGGCAAACTTTTCCTGTCAAAAGCCAGAAAGTAAATATCTGAGACTTAGTAGGCCATATGGTCTCTTTCACAACTTCTCCATGTTATGGCGCGAAAGTAGCCATAGATTATACAGAAGCAAATGGGTATGTCTGTGAGCCAATAAAACTTTATTTACAAAAGCAAGCAACAGGTCAGACCTAGCCTGATTGGGCCTTGTTTTCCAACCCTTAGACTGCATTCACTTTGAGAAAAGTCTTGTCAAAAGCATCATCTTAGCCCTTTCTTTTAGAGGCAGGGTCCTGACAACGTTTGATTAACACACACACCCAGGCACTTTGTCTCTCTTCCTCTGTTGTCCTTTGATAAACACCAACTGGCAGAGGGAACATGGAACATTTTTCCTTCAATTGCAGTGATTCTGAAAGACAAAGCTGGGGCAGAGATTAAAACCAGACCCGAGGTCTTTATGCCATGCTCAGCATATCAAGTGCCCCTCTTCAAATTGTACTGAACTAGCTGTATACCTTCATAAAGAAAATAGAACTATTCTTTCACTTAATAGTCTTTTAGTGAGGGTATGGGGGCCAGGTTTACGAAAGCCCTTATAAAATGCCGGCTGAAAGGAAATAATGCTCCTTGGCACCACAGAATCTTTTTCATGTGAAGCTACATGATCACTTTTCATTTTGTTTCTCAAGCACTCCATGGCACCCATCCATGTATTAGGCTAATAACTGCATGAATCTAGTTAAAAGGAGCCAAGCAATTATTTTAATTAGAAGAGAACAAAAATAATGCTCCTGGCTTCTGTTTTAAGGGGCAAGGAGGAAGTAGTCAGGGTTCAAAAAGATCCCACAAAATATTTTTGTGAAAGGAAAAATAATTAAGGCCAAATTTAGAATGTACTTGCAATAAATGGGCCAAATAAAATGAATGGCATCACTGTGCAGCTAGAACTCATTCATAGATAAGAGCCCCAGAAAGTCCGTTTCTATGTGATACCATTTTGAGGGTATAGCCAATTTTACAAAGTGAAAGTGAATGTCTAGCAGAGACTTAATGATCCTTGTGAATCTCTCACATGATTTCCTAAAGAGTGTCTGTGTAAACTCTTTTATTAATAAGAGATGGGGGAAGGATACTGGTCAATTTGCTTTTAAGGCAGGATTTTTTTTTTTTCATTTAAATTCTTAAATTGCTCAGATTTGTTTCTCTGGAAAAATTTATCTTCACAGCAAATCCTTGTTGCTAATCCATTCTGTAAAAAGCGGATTCCACAATAAGAGGATTTTCATCAGCTAGACCGAACTCAGTTATACAGGAAGAGATTGTATCTACAGCTCTTCCTGAGCTTTTGTCTTCCTGCCTCCCTTCTGGTCATGGAATTTTGACCATTTTATTCCATCTCAGCCTTCCAAAAATAAATGAAATGAAACTCAAAATAGTCAACTAGTCACCATTCTTCCTTCTGTTTGGATCTATCATTGTTTATTAAGCACCTGTTATCTACCAGCAAACAGGAAGTAACGGGTATACATAGGCGACTAAGACCCAGACCCTGCGTGCAAAGAGCTCACAGTCCAGTCCAACAGACAGAGACGGGCAGAAAGGAGAGCCAAGCAGCCCAGCTGGGTAGAGGGCAAGGTTACCTGGCCTGAGCTGACTGTTAAAGAATGGATTATCCAGAAGGATATGGATAGTCTATTCCAGGGAGAAAGGTCAGCACAGGCAAAAGTCAAAGACTAGAGTGAGACAAGTGAGCAGGCTGGAGAGCTGAGCAACAGCCCGGTGCTCACCTCTGAATATTGGTGTCCTTCTAAAACTCACGTTGGAACCGAATACCTGATGGGATCATACTAAGAGGTAGTGCCTTTGGGAAGTGATTCAGTCATGGTGGCTCCACCCTCATGAGTAAGATTGATGCCCTTATAAAAAAGGTTCCGGGGGCTTCCTTGCCCCTTCCACCATGTAAGAATGCGGCAACAAGGTGCCATTTATGAAGCCCTACCAGACACCGAATCTGCTGACACCTGGATCTTGGACTTCTTAGCCTCCAGAACTATCAGTAATATATTTCTATTGTTTATAAATTACCCAGTCTAATGTATTTTTGTTAAGCAACCTGAATGGACTAAGACACCAGATCATACAAGAACCTGTACCATGTCGATAAACCTGGACTTCATCTTGCAGAGCAATACAGAAATCACCTGGTTTTCAGCAAAGGACTAATGTGGTCAGCTTTCTGTTTCAGAGTCAGCACCTGAATGGCTGAAAAGAAGATGAAATGGAGAACAGTATCCCACAGCTGCCATTGCCCAGGCAAGAGGTAACAAGGACTTGAACTGGGACAATACTAAGTAGGAAAGGAGAGCTGGGATGAGGAATGAGATGGGTGCTACTAAAGGATATTTTAAAAATAAAAATTTAAAAGTCTGTGGAGCAGTGACTGATGAGGTCAAAAGTCAGAGATAAGATTAGCTTCAAAGATTCTTGGTGGGGATCAGATGTTTTATGTGAACGCTCATCATATGTCCAAAAAGGTTTCTCAACTGATGAGCCTTGATTATGAGTTCCAGGATTGAGATACAGTAACAAATTTCAGCCTTGGGCACATGAACATACTGCTGAGTGCCATATGGAAACTCCTAGAAGATAGTCTAATTCCTATTTACTTTCCCATGCAAAACTCACACAAAATCAGCTTCCTGCTAAAAGTCTAAGTTAAAACACACAAAAACATGAAAAGAAAGAAAACTGTAGTGAGTGCTTACTCAGAATAAACTACATATATGTTTAATTACTATATGAGATTAGACTCACTTATTTTTTTTTTTCAAGATAGAGTCTTGCTCTGTCGCCAGGCTGGAGTGCAGTGGTGCAATCTCGGCTCACTGCATCTTGCATCCTGGGTTCAAGCAATTCTCCTGCCTCAGCCTCCCATGTATCTGGGACTACAGGCACGCACCACCATGCCCAGCTAATTTTTGTATCTTAGTAGAGATGGGGTTTCACCATGTTGGCCAGGATGGTCTCGATCTCTTGACCTCATGATCCACCCGCCTCGGCCTCCCAAAGTGCTGGGATTACAGGCGTGAACCACCGTGCCCGGCCTCATTTATGTTTTAATTTCCAAAAGACTGTATACTTCTCAACTTGTTTTATGAGCCAGTGGAACCTTGATAACACATCTGACAAAGATATTACAATAAAAGAAAGTTACAGATAAATTTTATTCATAAACATTTCTATAAAAATTATTTTTAAAAATACAACCAAAGCACATGCGTAAGATAAATAACACATCACAACCAACTTAAATTTAATCCAGAAATGCAAGATTGGTTTAACATTCAAAAACCCATTGAATAACTCACCACACTAACAGAATTTAAAAGTCATATGATCATTCTATAAAGAAGCGGGTACTTAATTTATGATAAAACTGTCCCTGCAGAGCATCAAAGAAAAGAAGGGTTTTCCATTAATCATGAAAGGTAAGTAGATATCATGGAGTAAAGAACCAAACTTGATTCCAACCTCACACCATATACAAAAATCAATTCCATGTGTATTGTAGATCTAATTGTGAAAGGTGAAACAACACAACTTACAAAAGATAATATGAAAGAATATTATCATGGCTTTGAGATAAGCAAAGCTCTCCTAAATAGGACACATGGAAAGCATTAATCATGAGGGAAAATAGACAATATTAACATTAACATTAAAATTGGCTGGGCACAGTGGCTTATGCCTGTAATCCCAGCACTTTGGGAGGTTGAGTTAGGAGGATCACTTGGGCCCAGGAGTTCAAGACCAGCCTGGGCAACATGGCAAAACCCTATCTCTACAAAAATGAAAATACAAAAATTAGATAAGCATGGTGGTGCATGCCTATAGTCCCAGCTACTCAGGAGGCTGAGGTGAGAGGATCACTTGAGCCCTGGGGATTGAGGCTGCAGTGAGCCATGAACAAGCCACGGCATTCTAGCCTGAGCAACAGTGCGAGATTCTATTTCAAAAAGCAAAACCAAACACAAAAATTAAAATCTTCTATTCATCCAAAATCACCATAAAGAGAATGAAAAGTAAATCTCAGAGTGCTACATGTTTTTAACATATATAACAAAAAAGCTATATCCAGAATACCTATCTCCTACCAATCAATGAGAAAAGATGAAAACTCCAATAGAAAAACAGAATTAATATGACCATTTTCAAAAGAGAATATCCAAATAGCCAATATACAGGAAAAAGATGCTCAATGTACTAATAATCCAGGAAAATGGAATTAAAACCACAATGAGACTCCATACATACCACCAAAATGACCAAAATCAAAAAGACTGAGAATGCTAAGTGCTAGCTAGCAAGGATGTAGAGCATCACCCACTGCTGGTAAGAGTGGAAAATAACACAATCTCTTTGGAAAACTGTTTGGCATTGGCATTATTTATTAAAGTTGAGCATAATCATGCCCTACAATTTGGTAACTTCCCCTTTAGTCTATATATAGACTAAACATAGTGCGTATACACAAGCACAGAAGATGTGCACAAGAAAGCTTCCAGGAGAACTCTCTGAAAATAGCCTAAAGCTCAAAACAACTCAAATGCTCACCAAGAACAAAATGGATAAACTGCTGGGCACGGTGGTCCATGCCTGTAATTAGCACTTGGGGAGGCCAAAGGAGGCAGATCACCTGAGTCCAGGAGTTTGAGACCAGCCTGGGCAACATGACAAAATCCTGTCTCTATAAAAACAAAAATTGAAAAAAAAAAAATTAGCCAGTCATGGGGGCATGAGCCTGTAGTCCCAGCTAACCTGGATCTGAGGTGGGAGGATCACTTGAGCCGAGGGGGTCAAAGCTGCAGTGAGCCAAGATCATGCCCCTGCACTCCACCCTGGGTGACAGAGAGGCCCTGTCTCAAAATAAATAAATAAATAATAAATTGTGCTATATTACTGATACAAGAGAAGAAAATAAAACAAAGAAAATATACTACTAGTATACCCAACAACACAGATACAGGTCACAAAAATAATGTTGAGAGAATGAAGACAGACAAAAGAACACCTATCCATGTTTAATGTTCTTATCACAACAAAGATGAAATTTTAAAAAGAATACCTACCATATGATTCCATTTACATGAAGTTCAAAAGAAGCAAAACAAAGGTATGGTGTCAGGAGTCAAGCCGGTGGTTATCTTTGAGGGGAAAGGGGCCTTCAGGAGTGTTGGCCACATTCTCCTTCTTGTCCTGGGAGGCAGTCAGAGCATATGGTCACTCCAGATTAATTTACGGAGTCACACACTCCTGATATTTGCAGTCTTCCATATGTGGAACCCCAATAAAGCTTCCATTTAAAAGTTTCCAATGTTGATTTCCATTTTCCTTGAAGTAAAGGGAATAAGAAAATATTATAGAACATCTTCATAAAAATCAATCAATTTTTAATTTGCTAACCAAGCCAGCTCTTACCTGTGTTCAGTTTGCTCCCCTGATGTCAGCTACAGAGCAGGAAACAGGAAAAATCACGCATATGATTTTCATGCAGCTGGAGGAAGAAGAGAATGCCTTCCCTGTGAGGGACAATGAATGAAACTGGGACTCTGCAATTTAGCTAAGAGTTGAGTAATGCATAGAGAGGAGAAAGAAAAAGAGAGAGAGAGAGAGAGAGAGAGAGAAAGGGAGAGAGAGAGATGGAGTTGAAGGTCCAATGTATAAAATAATGACAATCATGACGAGCCTCCTGGAGGCTCATATATTTCTAGTCTTATATAAAATGGGATCAAAAGGTAACAAATTTAGTCTGGCTATAAGAAATGTTTTTTTTAAATGAAATGTATAATTAACCTGTAGCCAACGGTTTAGTAAAATCCAATTCCTCCCACACTCCCCTCACCAAAAAAATTAGTTATTTATAGCAGCCAAACCAGCAACATTGACAAGTATTGTATTACAAAGACTCCCCTGCTTCCAGGCAAAAACTGATCACCAGCTGGGGTCAGGAAGAAAATTTTCCCTTTGGTGTAGTATTTCATGGCTCTGTTATCTAATATTGCACAACTCTCCTGGGCTGAGTAGCATTTGCACCTCCACTCACGGGGACGTGGCTCTGGGATCCAGGATTCAATGTTGAAACAGGCTATTGTTTTAATCCCTGGATGGTAACACCTGCAGGCCTGTATTTAGGCAACACCTTGTGTTTCCAAAAGGTAAATACAATGAATATAATCAAAATTGTTCCTAACACTACTGTTTTTATATCAACAATCTACAAATATATGGAATAACTCAATATATGTGAAAAATAAACAGAAGGCATGCCTACATTGAAGTAATTCAAAAGATGGCTCTATAATTTACCAGCTTGAAGTTCAATTGTTGCATTTTTAGGTATGAAACATTATAAAAAAGAGATATTATTCATCAAAGTGATTGTCCTGTGCACTTGTATACCTTATATAATTTATTTTTTTCGGGGCTTTTTACTTCAAAGAAATCACTAGCTAATGACATTTCAGACTTTAGAAATTTTTTCTGATAGCACATTGGAATTCCCTCAGGGACAGAATTGTGAATAAGTGGATTTTTTTAAAGATCATTAACAGATATTACAAACCAATTCAAACTGAGCATTTTCTTTGCAAATTACCTTTAACTTTTAAAGCCATTGGAAAAAAAAAAAGACAGTGAGTGATTTAATTTACTTAACCTGTCTACAAATTGCAGCTTTGCACTCCATCGGCGATTGCATTTTCAACCAAAAAAAAAAAAAAAGGTCTCTAACTATCTCTAATAGAGATATTTTTCTAAATTATCACACCCGATGAGTGATATTTCAAAAGAAAGTAATGTTTATTTTTTTTTCATTTAGCAAGTTGCCCTGGAATTGAAAATGTTTATTCTATTGATATGTTTAAAGTAAAAACACAGCCCTATATTGTCTGTATCTGTTGCTTAATTAAAACTCTCCAGCAATTAGCAGGTTTATCACCTCCAAAGCAAATGGATGGCAGAGCTTTGGCGGTAGATTGTGGGTTTTTTTGAGGGGAGGGGAGTGCTCTTTTATTTAATGATCAAACCATGGTTTCTAGGCTAAAGAGCTAATATTTGGGATGAGAAGCACCTTTATTCCTCACATACATCAGGCCTGATTCTTACTGGCATCAACACCCCGTTGTGTGTTTTCCATTCAAAGAGCTCCCATGGACTTCAAAGGGAGTCGCCTCAAGGATGGGATATGTGGAGTCCTGACAAGCCCCAGATCAGGCCCAGAGCTGGAAGAAACCATGCCAAGAGTACCTCACGTTAACACCCCCCCAAACCATGTCACAAAATTAAAGGGTCTCCCCTGCCTATGCCGTCCCACAGCACTCATGGGAAACGTCCTCAGGCTTGCCAAGCACTGCTCTGACTTTGCAGGCTACCAACTTACATATATTTGATGAGTAGAGCTCCATTTATAAGAAAGTATGTTAATAGAATATTCTTTGAGAATGGTGTTCAGCGCAGACTTTAAAAGGCTCATTGTTTGAGGTACCAGAGGTTTCCTTTTTCCCCTTTTAAAGCGCAAAGTTAACTTACTGTACACCAAACAAAAGAAAGGCACATCCCTTTGCATGTCCCAGCAACAGCAAATGGGTAGGAGTCTATTCTGAAGGATGTTCTATTTTTGAAATGATTAATTAAATTATTAAGAGTAAAGGGGAAGAAAAACTAATATTTCTTGAGTGTTTCCTATGTGCCAGGTATTTTAATTCTTCTCTTTTAATCCTCACCAATATATTTTGAGGTATATGGTATTATCCCCCATTTAAAAGGTGATAAAAATGGGCTTTAGTGAGATCACGAAAATTGTCCACTCCAAAGTCCCATGACAGCAAGTGAAAAGCAGGTGGAACCCAGCCCTCCACATCTCCAAATCCCACGTTTGTCTCTTTACCTCACACTAACTCCTCGTTCTCTGATGATTTCAAATGCCAAGTTCACGTCTTACGGCAGCTGCCATTTTTCTAAACGGCTAGAACTCACAGACTGTGGGTTCTTTCAGTTTAAGCTCAGACAAGAGAAACTGTATTCCAAATGCTGATGACTAAGTGGCAAAGGCATCATTTTGCTCCAAAGAATTATCAGTGGAATCCTGTCAGGAAACATAGAATGGAAGGAGGTTGAAGGTCTATGCTAGCTAGTCTGAATGTCACACACGTGTCCCCAAATGCTAACACATCTAAATGAATGTCACATGATAAGGGGTGAGCCTAGTGATCACAGTAGACTCCCTTGGAAACAAGTTCAAGGGGAAAGCTGGGCCTGGGCCTCAGGATGGCAGAGGACCAAGATGCTCATCGGTAGACAGGTACCACATCCAGAATCATTACAGACACAAATATTTCAGCGTAGGGACAGGGAGAGAAAGCCAAAACTTCCATTAATCTTTTTGGCCCCTGCCCCAACCTCAGGACTTCAGAATCCTAAGTTTAGGATGTGGACACCCAGTGGGCACAGAGTGGGACTGGAGAGGTGGAGTCTCCCGTCTGCCTGCTGAACAGACATCAACCACGGGCTCGACAGTGTGGAGGTAGTAAGGGGTATGGACAGTCTGTCAGGGCCACCCCTAAGCTGCTTCCTGCTACCACAGACTCCTCCAGAAAAGGCCTCTGAAGCCCTGGTCGGAGCCCAAATGATTCTGAACGTGGCCACCATTTGCCTTGGGCTCACGGAAAGCTCACCAGAACACAGGCACTTGTTCCAGAGACCTTGCCAAGTCTTTTCCCTTCTCCCAGGCTGTGCATCCTTATTTTCAAAATGGAGACAATATGAATACCTGCTCAGCCTTGCATGCCGGGTGATGACAAAGGGATAGGTTGGTTTGAGAAAGCATTTTGGGAGGTCCAGGCAGCGGGAGGGCATCTCAAGCTGCTTGCCTCTAGCTGCAGGCACGTGGCTAAGCACCAGACCCTATTCTTCCTACTGTAGCTTGGCCTTGCAGTGAAAACAAATCTAAATGGAAGTGACTTTTTATATAATAGAAGTGGAAACCAAGGTTTAAAAATAAAATAAAATGGAATGTTTCTGAGCGTGCAGCATCCATACACTGTATTTGATTTTCGCTCATTCAGCACATTTGTATTAGGCGCTAAGTGGAGGGAGAGGTGCTCCATCATTGTGTTGGACTTCTGAGCACACTACTTAGCCTTTGCACTTGGGAGAAAGTCAAACTCCTGAACAGGAAGCCATCCTCTCACAACCCACCCCGACCCAGCAGCCCAGTTCGTGGCTCTGCAGATGCACAGGACATGCACCAGGCCCGCCTCCCGGGCCGTCTTCATCCTACTATGCACCTGTCAGCCCCTCCGATTCATCCTTGACTCGCCTGAAATGTTCTCTGCTCAGAAACACCTGCCAGAGAGTGCCTCTAGTCCAAAGCAGTCCCAGCCCTGATCGTCACCCTCATGCCTAATGGGCTTCCTGTGGAGCCATCATTGCCACGTGTGGTGACACTCTGTTGGTCTGGGATCTCTTGTACCATCTGTCTCCTCAACTCAACTGTGATCTTCAGGAGAGCAGAGGTCACCTCAGCCTCGTTTCTGCACTTCAAGCCCCGGCACAGTACCTGGCCAATGAAGGACACAGGAAACAGGTTTGCCTCAAAGCAGCTCACCTACTATAAAGCAACATAAATCCCCAACCGGTCAGGGCTTTTGTTTCACCTTCTGCAATGGCAGCCCTTGAGTTGAAGGAGAAGAAAGGTTTTGCCCTCCTCCACCAAGCTCACAATATTTTTTGTTTGTTTTTGGTTTTGTTTTTGAGACAGTGTCTCATTCTGTCACCCCGGCTGGAGTGCAGTGGTGCAATCTTGGCTCATTTCAATCTCTGCCTCCCAGATTCAAGGGATTCTCCTGCCTTAGCCTCCCAAGGAGCTGGGATTACAGGTGCACACTGCCACGCCCAGCTAATTTTTGTATTTTTAGTAGAGGTAGGGGTTCACCATGTTGGCCAGGCTGGTCTCAAACTCTTGACCTCAGGTGATCTGCCTGCCTCAGCCTCCCAAAGTGCCGGGATTACAGGCATGAGCCACCGCACCTGGTTCCAAGCTCAAATTCTTTCTCCTGCAATTAATCCGTGCCTCCCCCTGCAAGGTAGCCAGCCTCACCTGATCCGGCAGGAAGACCTGTGTTTGCTCCCAGCCCACAGAAATGTCCCACCTGTTGGTCAGGGTTCTTCCTGCCAAGGAGGTACGGCTTCCCCTTGTCACCTAAGCAACCCCTTATCTAAGTGTAAGATGGCGATAAGCCTGGTGCCCTAAGAAACCCAGGTGTGACTGTCAGATGGTCCCTGGGACTCCCCTGCCAGAGTGAGCCTGGGCTCCAATGACGGCCCAGAACTTTAGCTCCCATTACCTCGTGAATTCCCCACCCTGTGTGCTGCGGAGTGGAAGATGGCAAGCAACACTCACAGCATAGTTTATATTCCTTTAATTTTTCTGTTTTCAACTAGAAAAGTAACATGTACTTACTGTAACAAGCAAGACAATACTTTTAGAAGGTGAGTAAAAGCAAATATAATTATTTCTCCCTATCCCACTGAATTACCACTATCTCAAGAATACCAAGGGCATGCATGCATATGCCTATATCCATGTATAATATATAAAGAATAAGCAGAGTGTAGTGTCTCACGCCTGTAATCCCAGCACTTTGGGAGGCCAAAGAAGGTGGATCACCTGAGGTCAGGAGTTCGAGACCAGCCTAGCCAACATGGTGAAACCTTGTCTTTACTAAAAATACAAAAATTAGCCAGGCATGGTGACACGCACCTATAATCCCAGCTACTTGGAAGGCTGAGGTAGGAAAATCGCTTGAACCCGGGAGGCAGAGGTTGCAGTGAGCTGAGATCATGCCCCTGCACTCCAGCCTGGGCAATAGAGCAAGACTCCACCTCAAATAATAATAATAAAATAAAATACATATCTAATATGTTATATAGCATATATATTATATATACTACACATATCTTATGTATCATTTTACATAAGTGGGATCATATACTTGCTGGGGAAATTTTAGTGCTATATTTTGTCTTTATTGAATTACCTATTTTGCATGCCTTTTGTGTGTCCTCTGGGGACTCATTGGAAAGCACAGGCATCCTGTGGCCATGGGACCACACCTGACTTTGGTGGCACTGTTTCCCTGTCTGTTTTTGAACACATCTGCTGCCCTGGTTATACTGGTTACACTGGCCTACTGGTGAGTCTTCAGAGAAGTGGCATTGCCATTTTTTTCTCTTCTCCATTGGTGGTTTTGGGACATCTGAGATGTCTCCTGCTCCCACTCAGTCTCTTTCATTTTCTGCAGTTCCTCTGGCCTGTCTTGTTCCCTGCTCTTTCTCACTGGCTCTCATTTCCAGCTGCCAGTCCCTGTATTGCTTCTGACTTTATCTATTTCCAGAGACCTTCCCAAAGTCACAAATCTCTTGGCCAAAGGCCTCTTTTCCTTTCTGTACAGGTGCCTCTCCCTATCCCTCCTCCAACAAATCTTACCCAAGCCCTCACCCAGTACTCAGCTCATTTGTCAGTAGAGACCATTCCTCCTGACCCTTCCCCTACCAGGTCACACATTTGATCAATACATTTGTGTACTGCTTTGTAGATTTCAAACATATTCAAATAGCTTCCTTCAACAAATTCTTAGCCCTATGAAACAGAAAGGGGTAAGTATACTGCCTCCCCAAATATATAGGTCTTAAAGGACATTTATTGACAATTTGCAAAGAAGACATTTAAATGACCAGACTTTTTAAAAACTCAGTTTCACTATTAGTAAAAGAAATGCAAAGTATAAGAACACTGATATACTTTTTGCCTGTGAAATTAGAAACTATTTAAAAGAATGATAATACTCACCATTTGGCAAAAGAGGAGAGTGGTGGTATGCTAGATTTTTGCAAGTAGGAATGACAATTGGTGGCACCTCTTCGATTAATACCTTGCCAATGCATAGTAAATTAGAAAACCATGGCACCAGACAATTTCTCTTATAGAAATTTATCCCAAGGAAATAAAGTTATGTAAAACATTTTAGCTACAAGTATATTTTAATATGCAACTGATTAAGTTGAAGTACAGTCATGCAATGAAATGCTCTAAAATTTTTTTTAATGATAATATGGAAGAATATATAATATGCAAAATATATATGTATTCATATATGTATTACATATATAATTGTATAATATATATTCATATATATATAATATACAGAACTCTTGACAGTATCATTGTATAATATTTTTATTCATTATATATTAATATAAGGAATAAAAATATTATATAATGATACATACTGTCAAGAGTTCCGTATATTTTATATATATACATATATATATGTATATATATATATGAATATAGGTATCATGCACTCCAAAATGGCAAGGAAGGTTATCTCTAAGGGATAGCATTACAGGTGATTTAGATTTTCTAAATTTTGTTTTTCTCTCTTTCTAAGTTATTTTCAATAATCACATACACTTTTGTAAAAAGAAACACAAGAAAATTATAACATTAAAAAATTATCCTCATCTAAATGGAACCAGTTCTACATTTGGTTCTTTAATCTGCGCACTCATTCATCCAACACATATTTATTCAACTCCTACTATACACAAAGCACTCTGCTAGGTGAAAGGGGTATAGCAATTAAAATATTTTAAAAATTAAAAAAAAAAGAGAAAGAACTGGTGTCTGCCCTGGAAAAAGGGTTCTTGGTAACTGAAAGAAAGCCGGCAGAGCTCACTGGGTGTTAGTCTTCCCTAAATTGAAGAAATGGCCTCGGAGGATATCAGTGCATCCAGTCATGCTTGGGAGAGATGTGGCATTGGAGCTGGACCTGAAAAAGTGGTTTCTGAGGGAGGGCTGGGAGTGGAAAATGGAGAGAATACATGAGAGCGAGAATCGCCCTCACTCTGAGTGCTCCCAGCTACTGTGTCTCCTGGCAGCTGGAGACAAATGGTTGGAGTGGCCTGACAATGGCAGAAATGGTTTCATGGGTTGCATAACTTCAGATGTTAATCAGAAGGCCCAAAATGATTCCTATTTTAGATAAGCGACTAGTGAAAATTCAATAAAATTCAACAAAATGCAATCCCTCTGAGTCTGCATTTTCAATAAGCATTCAGCCTCCTACTGTCATTAGATGGCACTCCCCTTTAACTGCGAGGATTGAAATCTCCCACACACATCAATCAATTTTCCCAGCAAGGAAGCCACCCCCAGGAAGTGTGGCACTTGGCACAGTCTGCAAGAAGTCCTTACAGCCTCTAGGGTACCATTTTGTTACCCCATAGGATCATTGTCATATTCCAAATTAACTCAAGTCATCTGCTTTGAGTTGTTTTTACCATAAATGATGAAAAATTTTTGTTGATTCTTTTCCAAAAGGCCATTTGTGACCAGTGGCCATTTGGAGATCTGACTGGGGCTTGGGGGGGGACCACAATGAATGAAGCAGCCCTCTTGAGGATTGAACCCATGACCTCATTAGCACAAGGTTCTAATCAACAGAGCCACCAGGCACATACCTCATTTAAGACACTGAGGCAGTAATTTGCTAAATGTTAATTCTTAGATTAACTACAGATGAGTAGAGTTCCTAGGGGGAAAAAATGAGAGAGATTTGTTCATTCTTGAAGGGAAATTTAGGTCATCAGTTTTTGATCCCTTTGGTTAGTTTTATGGTATAATTCCAGAATTTTAAGATGATGTCCATCTGGGTCTATACCTCCATGATTTTTTTTAAATCAATATCTTGGTCAGGAGACTTTCAAAGAAAATGCAAATCGTGCCACTTCTGTACTTGCAAAACACCACACCATGATCTTCGATGGATACCTCTACAGTTTGTATCTCATGCACAACACAGGTGGCAAAATAAAGAATGAGATTCATATCTGAGTCAGAGATGGTCCTCCCAGATCAGGAAGGGCTGGACTCCATTACCACTACCCCTCAAAATCTTAAGTCCTATGGACGAAAGATCCCCCTCCATGGGGAAGGGGAGCCCCAACCTCTAGACCTTTCTCAAGGCATGCAGGAATCCAACCTACTCGCCTTCTTACCTTATCCGCCAGCCAGTCCCTGAGAAGCCAGTTTAACAAACAGCAAATATGGCTTGAAACAAAGTTTTGACACTGACTTGGTATCTCGTGCTCATATTACGTTTCTATGAATATTCCACTGACTTTTCAACTCTGAAGAAAAGTTTCCGCTCCAAGGCTACATTTAACATTCAGACTATTTCAACTTCAGTTGCTCCCACCCCAACAGCGATCTTTGAAACTGATATGGTCCTGAAAGAAGCCAGAATAACTTTGTAGAAATGTTAATAATAATGGGCTAGGTTCCCAGTCTTTCTTTGTAATCTTGTGGAAGAAGCTCTGTGAGAAAGCACCCTGGGAATTGAATTGAGTGTGTGCCCACACTAGCTTTTCCACGGAAAGCCTGCTTGAAATGCATGGTTGTTTTGCAGGAGCATTTCTACCAAGTGGAGGAGAATGGGAATGGAGCCTTGCATTTGTCACCTTTCATCCCAAGAGCTTTAAGATCACAGTGAAATACCCGGGCTGCTGCCTGTTGTAAGAGAGGTCCCCTATATTTGGTGGCAAGACCCAGTCGCGAATGTCAGGAGTATACCATTCTGCCACTGCCGGTTAGGGGCCGGTGGGAAAGCTAGGTATCCTCTCTGAGTTGTCAATTTCCTCACCTCCAAAGTGATGGTAATTGTAGTTACTACAAAATAGGATTTCTGTGTCCACACAAAATAGTGGACATTTAGCTTATCACCTGGAACATAGCACTTAGTAAGCACTCATTAAAACTTAACTATTTCTGTTGCTGCTATCTGCCTTCTGAGCCATAGCCATGTCAGTGTAATGGTGTGCATTCCAAATATCCCTTCCTTTATAAATCCAAAATAGGCACTACAGTTGTACATCCACCAAGAAGATTCTAATGGTAAGCTGAATACCAGCAAGCTTTAATAGTATGCTCTGATCAGAGGAGCTAAGAGGGAGCAACATAAAATGAAAAGAGCTATCTAGCCCTGATTTCTAAATAATGCCTTTAAAAATATTTTCTTATGAAATGCATTGTAAAATGGCATAAGGAACTTTCCAAACTCGCAAGACCAAAATATATGGTCTTAAAATCACAATACTCCACAACACAACAAATTTTTAGCCAACCTAGATTCACAGGAATTTCAAATTCTGAATAGATTTAAAAAAAAAAAAAAACTCCACTAATTCAAATAATCAAACCAAGTACATTTTTTTTTTCCAAGTACATTTTTATCTAAAAATACCATCTGAGGCAACCCTGTTTTATAGTCAAGAAACACTAGCATTTAGTAAGCTACAATGTCGAACTTCTATTCAAGTTGAAGTTGACAGTTAGGAGCTAAATAAACAGAAACTAAACTTCAGAATAGTATCTATCTTATAGTTACGGGCTCAATTGCTACTTTAATCTCCTGCAGAGACAGCTATTAGTTCAATAAAATAAATATTTTTAATTTCCTCTACACATTTCCTCAAACCACGCCAATGTACTTATCTATGGCTCAGTTAAAGAGTTTGGTTAAGCAGCCTCCACTTACTTAAAAGACAGTGTTTGATTTTCCTAAGAAATGGAGAAATGGATGTGGGTGCTCGTTGTTTTAATGCACTGAGCCCTTAATCACTTCCAGTTCTGATTCATCAGAAAAGTTGTACTCTTGAGGGTTTGGGGGCTTTTTTGGCCACTAAATATTGCCTTTCATTTTGAGATATTTATTCCCTGCCAGAAAATGATACTGTATTTTTTTCCCTAATGATGAAGGATGAAAGATGGAGCAAATTCCATTTGGTGATTATTGGACCACAGAGAAGTAAACTGATTCAGAAAACAAATCCCCAAAAGGAAAATAAATGTATTATGTGAGATGGGAGCATGGGATTCTTGGCAAATATTCAACTGGAGCCAGGATTGGTAATTTAATAGCATCCTTGTCTTATTAATATTTGAAGGGGGGAGGGTAAAGCTCTAGGGCTTTTACCCATCGGCCAGAATCTCCCTATCTTCACCTCTCTGCTACTGCCCTAGCCTGCATGGATGTTAGAGATGCAAATGCCTAGAAGCCTTGCTAAGGGTTGCTAAAACTGCACAGGCCATAGCAGGGGTCCAAGATGCCATCACTCCTCATATAAGCCAGAGGAAACAACACAACCTTAACCTCCACAGCTCAATGGGCAACGGGAATGACCTCCAAGCCCACTCTGAGCACTGTTCCCAGACGCCTGGAGCATCAGACCCAAATCAAAGACAGGTGAATTCATAACGTGACATCTGCCAAAGACGATTCCACCAAATCACACCAATTTGGTAAACGTGTCACTCTACTTTCAAGCGGTCTTTCTAGCTTCCCCTTGCTGATTGGCAGAGTTTGGCAGAACAAAAAAGCCCTTCCTTTGGAAATCCTGGCCACATCTTTAGCCTGCAAAGGGACACCCCCAAGTGGTTTAGATAGGAAAGGAATTAGAAGTCAGTGCTGCAGTACACACAACCCCTGCATGTTATGAAGTGTAGCATTTTTGAGCTTTGGCTCTCTTTCAAGTTTAAAGGAAGAGAGAAGAATACTGAAAAATGAAAAACAGAATGAGAAAGACAAGTTTAGTTTAAGCCCAGTCCCTAAGACAGTTCTGAATTGCCAATTTCTGCCATAAACATTTTTAATTATTGGATTATAAAATGTGTAGAAAAAACAAATTTAATTGCTAAAAAATCTTACCTAATGTTATGGTCCCATGGTGGTCTGAAAAGAAATATTATATGGGTCACACGAGTGTGTGATAGATAGTGGTATTAGTGGTGATGGTGATGGTGGCAGTAGTGAGGGTAGCAGTGACAGTGGTGATATGCTGGTAGTGGTGGTGGTGGTGATGGTGATGATGGTGGTGGTGGTGGTTATGGTGGTGGTGATGGAGGTGGTGATACTGGTGATGGTAGTGATGGTGGTGGTGATGGTGGTGGTGGTGGTGGTGATACTGGTGATGGTAGTGATGGTGGTGGTGATGGTGGTGGTAGTGGTGATGGTGGTGATGGTGATGGTGGTAATGGTAATGGTGGTGATAGTGGTGGTGGTGATGGTGG